TCTTAGCAATTGGCAGGTTGGTACACCCCAACGCAGACGAATTTCATGTGGAGCCCTCCCGCCGTCCGTCTCACTCACACACAAGCACACAGCACATTCTTCAACTCTCTGTCCTAATCCTAGGAGTCTACAGGTTCATCTTCAGACAGTGTTTCCTTCCACTGCCTTTCAGCCCTTTCCTTCAAGCTGGAGATTACTAGCAGGCTCTGGGAGGTGATCAAGTTCCCCTTCTGCCATTCATTGGCAGGTCTGTGCAAAAGCCCTTATTCCTACCCTTTCTGTCAGGTGGTCGTCTTTATGCAGTTTCTCGCCTCTTGGGTTCCTGTTATGCTTTCGTGGTCTGAGCCTCAGTGTGCCAGGAGGGGCCTCCCTCCTACAGATCAAAAGGTCTGTTGCGAGCCCGGCGAGATTGCCCTTCCCGTTGCCCTGGAGGTTGCACCCTGATGACAAAGGAGGTGGAACACACCGTCTCCAAACTCTCCATTTCCTGGCCGATGCACCAGATATGTAGCGGGAAGACAGAGAGATCATGACACCAAGACTATTATAGGAAGTGGCACTTTATTATGCTGGCCAGCCCAGCGGGCTCGAGGAGTTAATGCTTCCAGGCGAGCCCCCCAGAACGGGAGAAGTGGGGTCTTATACCCTTGTTTAGGTAAGGGAGGGGGTCGTGTTGAGTGATTACATATTTCCTTTGGAATCTTACAAGGTTGTACTCAGCAAAATCAGATTTTTCAAAGAACAAATGTTTTCAGGAACTGCAGGGTTGTAAACCATCAACTTCAGAAGAGGGGTTTTGGATAAGTCTGTGAGTTGGTTACTCTTCTGCATTTCCATGAAATGGCCAGTCTCTGACCACTTGGCCTTTCTTAAACAAAACCTGCCTGGCGCCTGGCGGATCTTTAAAGCTTTCAGCTTGCCTTTCAAAAGGAAATACCTTTAACTGCTACCAACCCCCCTTTCTGCCACATCAATATCCTCTCAACTTTTTTTGCATTTTACTTAAACCTGATAAAGAATCAGCAAGTATTTTTTTTTCTTTTTTTTTCGAGTTGGAGTCTCACTCTGTCACCCAGACTGGAGTGCAGTGGCCGCTCCTGGCCACCGCAGCCTCGACTTGCTGGGCTCCAGCGATCCTTCCACCTCAGCCTTCCAAGTAGCCAGAATTATAGGCATGCGCTACCACGCCTGGCTGATTTTTTGATTTATTGTAGAGATGAGATCTCGCCTGCCCAGGCGGGTCTCGAACCCGCGGGCTCAGGCAATCCACTCACCTCAGCCTCCCAAAGGTGTGGGATTACAGGCTGAGCCACCGAGCCTGGCTAGCAAGTATTTTTTGAGTATTTATCTCTTCCCAGGAGTTCTACTAAACTCTGGGAACTAGAGGCAAATAAGAAATACAAACTTATTTTCTTTGTGGCTTTTACAATCCACAGAAAATAAATCATGTCCTTGGAGAAGAAAACTCAATACTACAAATACCTCAACTCTCACGTATTAATCTCTATATGTATTGAAAAATCTCAAAGTTGTGGGCGTGTGTTTTAATTGGACAAATTGATTATAAGGTTCATGAAGAAAAAAATTAGTGAATGTGGTCATGACAATATTTTTTTAAATAGGTGAAGGAAACCAGAGCATAGACTGACAAGGTCCTTATGTTTCTTGGCTCGTGTTCAAGGAACCAAGCCTATATTTCCTTTGTTTCCCCTGACCTTTGGTTGCTATTCCATGGACAGCAGAGCAGCCCACCATGCCTAGCCCGGAGGCTGTCTGTCTTAAGGGATTGCCTTGCTTTTAAATTAGCATAGACGTTAAGATAAGCATAGTTTAGACATGAACACATATCTTGCTTGCGTGGTTTTGCCCTCCCTTGTGTGATTTTTGCCCTATATAAGAGGCATGCGGTAAAAATAAATTTGCTCTCTCTCGCTCCTTTCTACCTGGGAGAGAGTCCTCCCAATCCTGCTGTTTCTCTATCTCTTTCTTTCTCATTCCCTTCCCCCACCTCAGGCCTTGCTCAGTGAAGGCTGGAACTCCACAAAAAGGAAAAGTAATGAAGACTCATCCTCTGAGATGCCAAAATGTTTTACATAATGCATTTACTTACTAATGAAAAATAATTTGAAGTCCAGAAATACCTGCATATTATTGAAATGTATTTGCTTTTATTCTTCAGGCTACTGGGTTCCCTTAAATGAGGTGCTATTTTCCTTTTTCCAATGTGTCAATGGGTTTCGGTGACTCGGGGCTCATGAAGTTCAGGCTATTGAGGGACTCTCTCAGACAGTGATGGAAATAAGAGGTGAATGATAAGTTCAGTGTTTCTCCTTCGGGCAATCAGAAAGATTTCTAGGCCAATTTTCAGGTTACTGTCAAATGAGAAAAAAGCTTTCTTCTCAAGAGAATAAAAAAACCATATCTCGATGTTAGACAGGTAGTGAGGTGAGAGAATTTTGGAGGGCTTGAGGATTCATTTTTATATACTTGATAAGTATATAAATAAGTATATATGTTTTATAGACTTGATAAGTATATAAGAGTGTATACTTGATTCATTTTTATATACTTGTTAAGATCTTTCCCAGAAAGATCTTGGACTTTGTTATCCACCCTTCTGAATGCCAATGTATATTTTTACCCATCAAGGAAGAAAGAAAGAAGAGGTGGACACCGATTGTCTAAAAGAGGCAGACTGGCCCACTGCTTTGGGAGTAACTTGATTGGCAGAGGCCCTGTAGACGTGGGTTGTGGTCAGGCAAGTGCTAACCTGAGTTATAGAGATGTGAACAGTGCACAGCAAAGCAGTTGAGTGGAGCCCCATCAGCATACAAACCCAGCAGGACCTCTATCTATAGGGTGGGCCTGAGGCGGGAATCAGGTCTGGAGAAAGAAGAATAAAACTCAGGATTTACCGAGCACTTTCCATGTGCCAAGCATGTGTCCCTGGAGGCCAGTGGGTAAGTGGATAAAATCTGAGAACCCCACTAAAAAAAAAACTCTGGTTGCTTGTGTCAAAGAATTGGGAAGTTATTGGTAAGCAGCTCAGGTAGGGCCAGATAATCCTGCCCTGGGGTACCAAGGCACCTCACAATATCCCCAGCTCCCTCACTAGTCTCTGAGTTCCTGGAGGGCAAGGATGGTGTCTATCAATTTTTAAATTTTTCATACGGTAGTCATTTGAAAATTGCTGTGTCAGTGTGAAGGCAGCTTCCAAAATGGCCTTCAGTGATGCTTGCCTCTCAGGATTTATTCCCTGGTATAGTCCCCTTCCATGTTGAATAAGATGGGCCCACGTCACCAGTGGGAAGTTGGGGATATGATGGACTGTGACCTCTACCATGCTCTTTCTGGGATTGCTTATGCTGGGAGAAGCCAGCTGCCGCTCTTGTACCCTATGGAGAAGTCCACCATTGAAATACTGAGCCCCTCCTGCCAACAACCAGCACCAACTTGCCAACCTTGTGGCATTATCATCCACATTTTATGCTTGAGGAAACTGAAGCTTGGAGAGGTGAACTAACTTGGCTAAGGTCACATCTTTAATAAATGACAGAGTAGATATTCAAATACAATTTATTTGATACCAAGCCCAGCATCTTTGCCATGGTGATTCACCATTTCTGTTTGGGGCCAGGAGGTACCTATATCTTCCCGGTGTGCCTTGTGAATGAGTCATCTTAGGGGTGGATCCTGAAGCCCCGCCCAAGTCTTCAATGACAGCCCCACCAACATCTCAACTGTAACCTCCTGAGAAAATTTGAGCCAGAACCACCTAGCTAAGCTGCTCCTGGATTACAGAAATTATCCAAGATAATAAATATTGCTTATTGTTATTGTTTTTTTTTTGTTTTTTTTTTGAGTTGGAGTCTCACTCTGTCGCCCAGACTGGAGTGCAGTGGCCGCTCCCGGCCACCGCAGCCTCGACCTGCTGGGCTCCGGTGATCCTTCCGCCTCAGCCTTCTGAGTAGCTGGAATTACAGGTATGCGCTACCACGCCCGGCTGATTTTTTGATTTATTGCAGAGATGAGGTCTCACTGCCCAGGCGGGTCTCGAACCCGCGGGCTCAGGCAATCCACTCACCTCAGCCTCCCAAAGGCGTGGGATTACAGGCCGAGCCACCAAGCTCGGCTTGCTTATTGTTTTAAGAGACTAAGTTTTGGAGTAATTTGTCATACAGCAATAGATAACTAATAGAGTCAGGAACAGCTTGGTGGTTGACGATTGCCCAATGCCAGACTGTTGAAGCTGAGGCATTTAATTATTCAACCAACATTTATCAAGTGCCTACTCTGTGCCAGGTACCAGGGGGCCGGAGATGAACATGGTACCCACGGGATAGGAACCACCTCCTTCCTGAGCAGGATGAAAGGGGGCTCAGTGTACTGAGGAAGTGCTTGGTTTAGCCTGAGGACCTGCTTTCAGGCCAAGGCTGGCAGCTGCCCCTGCACCTGTGCCCACTCTTATCTACCTGGCTTAGCCCCAATTCTGAGGGGTACAGTTGCTGGCAGTGGCAAATCTATGGCCTTGTATGAAGGTGAGATAAAACAGGCCCTGACACCTGCAACTCCTGCCTCCCACATGGCACTGACTCTGTCCCCAGCCACACCCCTCCCTCCCCTGCAACTCTAGTCTGTTTTTTCCCTAAGGAGTTAGGCTCTAGCAAAGTAGGTCACAATGTTCCTGGCACCCTACTCCCACAGCCCCTCCTGGGATGAGGAGAAGGGGACAGGAGTACAAGAGCCATGCCTCTCTGGAAGCAGCCATCTTCTCCCTTCCTGTCTTAGGTTGAGAAGGGAGAACAAAACTGAGGAGTGGGCAGCTGCCGCATCCCAAGGCTACTGCTGTCCTTCCTCTCCAGAGCTGTGGCAGCAAAAGCACAAGGGGCTCAGCAGGACATAATGAGCAGAGATTGCTGTGGACTGGATTCCTTCCAAGGCCCTGGCACTGGCTTGGAGTGCTGGGTTTGATACTGCAGGACTAAAATTGCATCCTTTAAATGAGCGCTCCAATATCTCAGCTCTACCTGCTGTATGCGATCCCGGCCTTGAGCCCTGGACCTGGGGACCCTGGTTCCCAGCACTGTGTCCTCCATGCTCCCCCTGGGCTTCCACATCCCCGGAGGAAAGGGACACAGCCTCAGCGCCCCACTAAGGTCTCCAGTGGTGAGCAATTCAGACATGGACTGGTGAAGGGGTGTTTTGCTGGGCAGGATGGGGTTGCTTGCTCTCGTGAATCTGGGATGGGAGGCGATAGGAACATGATGTCCTTGGGACCTGGGCTCATGAGGTGGCAGCTGTGCTGCTCTCACAGTGATAAAAGGGGTCTCCTCCTTACATAAGGCTGAGCCACGGGCTGAGCAAGGCGTCCAGTGTGGAGGCACCATGGGGAGGATGCTGCTTTGGGCCTGTGAGTCTCTTAAACTTTTTGCTCCTCATTCGCGGATCGTGGGACTGAACCTGGAAAAGGGAGGGAGGGCAGGCGGGCATCTATTCCAGAGAGGATTCTGCATGAGTCCTGCGCATGCTCAGGGCTCTGAGCAGAGGGACTTGAGCTCCAAGCCTGGGATAACCTGAGGCCCTGAGAGCAGCCACTGATCACTCCATGAGGCCCTTGGGGCCTTGATATCTCATAAGTGTTCTGGGTAGCAGCACATTCCTACTGGGAAGCCCATCTGAGGATTTCCTACTTTTTTGTGTTTGTTTTTTTCAGGCTTGGCTGTTCTCCTGCAAGTGCAATTAGGTAAGGAATCCCACAACCTCCTGCCCAGTCTTCCTAGGATCCAACTTCCTCTTTTTCTCCTTGCTTCATGTTCTACATTTCCTTCTCTTTCTGCACTTCCTTCTCCTTCCATGATGAGGGCTGGACTAGAACCCCAAGACTCCATCCTGTCTGCTTGATCCCAGAACATCAGACCTGGGAGGGAACGCACGAATCACGAACCTCAAACTCCTCACTTTAAAGGAGAGAAAACTAAGGCGCAGAGAGGTGAAGTGCCTTGTCCCTTACCACTCAGCTTCAGGACTTAAACCTATGTCCTGATGCTAAGTCTGGGGCCGTCTCTACTATGTATTACTCTCCCTCCTCTGTGTTTTGTCTTTTTTCCCCTCAAATGTCCTCACCTTTTTTCTCCCCTAATTCCTGGGCTTTCCTCTGTGGAGATGAGACATGGCTGAGGCCAAAAGAGGGGGACAGAGGAGGGGAGAGTGGGAAGCACATGAGCTTTGGGGTAAGACTTTCTGGAAATAGTAGGTGCACAATATGGAGAATAGATGGATTGATGAGTTGGTATTAATCTTAACCTTGAAGTCCTGAGCAAATCAGTTTTTCTGAGTCTCATCAAATAACAAGGATAATAAGGTTTCCCTCATAGGGTTGTTTTGAGAATTAAAATTTAAGCAAAACAATGCATGTAAAGCCCCTAAATAAAGCACCAGTCACCTCATATACCATCTACAGAAGGTAGCTACTTTATTGATCATGAACTTAGACAATTATGCTTTTGATGATGTGATGCATCGTACTCAAGGAACATAATTATCCTGACCACTTGTTTCTATTAAGGTAAACTAGTTTTACTTTAGGCATTGACTCTAACTGATTTTCAAAGCTTTTTGGTCCATGAACAATGCTTAGGTCTTACTCCAATTCTACTGAAAAAAGTGTCATGACTGTTTAGCAAGGTGTTACATAGACACAAGAAAGACATGTGACAGCATCTACTGGGCATATGTCATGCTAACTCTTAGATTACTCTTTCCTTGAAGAGAGCCTGACAGTGGGTCCTCGCACTGCAGTAACTGCTGTATTCTCCCCTCAGGCTCAGCCTATAAGTTGGTGTGCTACTTCACCAACTGGTCTCAGTATCGACCAGAGCCAGCCAAGTTCTTCCCTAAGAACGTGGACCCATGCCTGTGCACACACCTGGTATATGCCTTTGCCACCATGAATGACAACAAGATTGCTCCCTATGAATGGAATGATATTGATGTCCTGTATCCTCAGTTCCGAGCCCTGAAAGAACGGTCAGTCGAAAATGGGTCCTCAGAGAGTGGGACACAGGAGGGACAATGAAGAACCCAAGTTCAGTCTCCAATTCATTCTCAACTAGCATAAGATTCTGAGAGGCAGCATCTTTTGCATATAGCTTCTTCCTGGAAAGAGCATGCAGATTTCCGACTTATGGTAAAGTGTGATATAAATACTAATGTGGGCAGCCAGGGAGGAGCGCTTACCATGGAGATCTTAGGGCAGCTTACCCATTCCCTGGAGTTGGGAATGAGGGCCAGAAGAATCACCTTGTGCAATGTCTGCATCCTGCAGGTTCACAGGGATCCCCCTTAAATATGACTCTTTGTTTCTCTTTGTAGCAACGGAGACCTGGTCAACTTGCTAGCCATTGGCGGCTGGAACTTTGGCACTCAGAAGTAAGAGCTTTCCCATGGCTGGGGTGGGAATGATGATGCCAGAGAAGGAGATGTAGATGGATTATTCCACAGGGAAAAGAGGCTGGCCTCTGCAAAGGAGATGCTGATGTCTGGGTGGGACGGACTGGCTGCCGCAGATATGGAGAGATAACAGTGGTGCCGAGAGAGCCAAGTACTCAAAGGAATAAAGAGGATGACGTGTGGCAGGGAAGGGGGTTGGTGGTCTCATCAGCTGTGGTCTGCTGATGAGGTGGAAGAGCCCCAGGCTTTGCTGCTGGGGAGCAGTGAGAAAGGGTCGGCAGCCTCACAGGCATGTGGACTCTAGGTGGAAAAGGAGATGGTGCATTAGGCTTGAATTGCATGTAGAAAGTTGTTTAAGTTACATTTCAAATTGTGAAAGTTATGCATTCCCATAATTTGAAAAATCAGGTGGCACAAAATGATTTGACATAAAAGGTAACTCGGGCCTCTCTCCTCTTCCCTTTTCGATTTCTCGAGAGGCTGCAATGTGATGTTAGAATAAGGCGCAGTTGAGTTTTTAAAATTCTTACTGTAATAGCCAGTAAACTTTCTAACAGTTACCTATATGTTACCAAGTTAATTCTCACCTATGGTATTGGCCCAATACTTCTTCCGTCAAGTGTCTACTCCATCGATATAGCTTTTTTTTTTTGATCCTCAACTCACATAAATAAGAAAATCTTTGCAGCTTAATCCCACCAAAACTCCAAATAGCATTTTTATCCCTCTTTTAAAGTTACTTACTTTGTGCTAGTCAGTTTACTTTCACTTCTACTTTTTTTAAAAAAGAAACTTACTTTTAAATACTGACACTTAAAAAGAACCAGATTAAATTAGAAACATTAATCACAGCCTTACTATAACTAGGAACAAACACAAACACCGAGTGTTTAAATATGTGTTAATAGGCTATAAAATTGCTGACTATGGCAGAAAGACTAAATTCTAGAGAATAAAACACCTTCAAATACAGAGTTCAGAATAAACTTAATAGTACATCTTTAGGGGTCAAAAGTGCTTCGTTAAGTAATACAGATTGTAAGTCAGTCTAATCTTGGAAATAGTAAGAATACAAAACATCTTAGAATTAAAGAAAAACAATATCTGAAACACTTTTCCCTGAAGGATCCCACTAATGAATGTTCATGTACTTTTGATATTATAAATAAATAGAAAAATACCATTTAATAGATATATTGAAGAAAAACAATTTTTAATTAAAACACTTCTCCATTGTTTAACATTAACATTTTGAATTTCTTCATCATAACTGTAAAAATCCAGCAGGAGTTATTATAAAATACTTAACAAAAATTACTATTAGGCCAAGTGCAGTAGCTCACACCTGTAATTCCAGCACTTTGGGAGGCCAAGGCAGAAGGATGACTTGCACCCAGAAGTTCAAGATCAGCCTAGGTGACATAGCGAGACCTCATCTCTACAAAAAAAAAAAAAAAAAGGTCAAAAAGTTAGCCAAGTGTGGTGGCATGTGCCTGTAGTTCTAGCTACTTGAGAGACAGAGGAAAAAGAATCGCCTGAGCCCAAGAGTTTAAAGCTCTAGTGAGCCCTTCCAGCTCGGGTGACAGAGTGAGACCCCGACTTCAAAGCAAAATGCTATCAGAGATGGGGTGGGGAGGATTTCTGGGGTCTGCTAATGTTAATACAGACAAGCTCTCTGCCTAGATTCACCACCATGGTCTCCACGGCTGCCAACCGCAAGATTTTCATCTGTTCTGTCATTGACTTTCTTCGTCAACATGGATTTGATGGCATTGACCTGGACATTGAGTATCCAGGTTCCCGGGGAAGCCCACCTGAGGACAAGCAGCGATTTACCATCTTGATCAAGGTGGGGGAACACCAGCTCTACAACATCTTGTAGAGAAGCTTGTGCCTTAGTGGGTTTTCTGTAAGAGCTGCATTTCCTGTGAACAGCAAAGGGCACTGCCCTCAGACAGTGCCCTGGTTAAAGTGCTTGGGAGTTGCAAGCAATAGAAACAGACTATCTGGCTAGTGTAAGCCAAAAGGGAATTTAGTGGAATGATATAATATCTGAAAGAACACAAAGGAGAAATCCTTGGATTGGGAAGGAAGAATCATTCATTACATCATTCATTCATTCAGTATTTATTGAGCATCAACTGTGATCCAGGCACTGTACTTCACATCGTAGGTGGAGCAGTGAACAAGACAAACATGATCCTTGCTCTTGTGGGCCTTACAGTATATTGGAGGATACACACCAAAATAAAAGCATCAAATTGCAAATTGTGGTAGAAGCTATGATGGAAGCAAATAGGATGGTCAGGGAAGATTTTCCAAGGAAGGGATATCTAAACTGTGATATAAAGAATTAAAAAGAGCCAGCCACATACACAGTTGGAAGGGTGTTCTAAGGAAGTGGTAGCAGCATTAGCAAAAAGCTGGCGGCAAGAAGGAGCTCAGCACAGGTATACACACCTTGAAAGGCTAGAGCTTTAAAAGGGAGGGCCAGTGCTACCAGGAGTTCCTGGGTTATTTCTTTTGTACTGTCATTAAAAGTGACTCAGACTAGCTAATATTTGTATATCTTTGTTCCAAGTTATACTTTACCAAGACCTACCTCTGTATATTGGGGACCATTTCTAGAAGAGGACTTGCTATGAGCTGGAAAGCAGCCCAAGAGGTACTTAATTCAGGAAATAGATAATGAAGACAGCTACTCAAATCCACTCTTACTCTCTCTTCAGGAAATGCTAGAGGCCTTTGAAGAAGAGGCTAAAGAAACAGGAAACTCCAGGCTACTTATCACCGCAGCTGTATCTGCTGGCAAGGGGACCATTGATGCGGGATATGAAATTGCAGAGATTGGGAAGTAAGTGCGCTGGGTCTCTCAGGGGCCCCACATCTTAGAGCGAGGTTCCTAAACTCTTCAGTGGAGGTTATCCTAAGTAGTTAAGAAAATGCAATGTTGAGAAAATTGGCCAGAGGTTTGGGGAATTCATGGCTCTGGGATAAGGTGGTGGCCCCCCTTTAAGTAGTTATGGGGGTAAGCTTTGGGGAGAAGAGGAACAAGATTCAAGACTACAAAGAATCCTTATACTAACCATCTTCCTTAGCAGCTTCTTTTGAAAAAAGATGAAAAATCATGAAAGCTATTATTGACAAAGCAACGGAAGAGCTACTCACCTGATTCTCATGGCTCTAGAATCATGTGTTTCCGAGTCATTTGCTCTGACAATCCACATTTTCTAGCCTTCTGCTCTGGGCTTTTCCAGTTTCTGTCAAGGAGGTACAAGAGGCTTCCTGTCCAGTGGTGTGGTGGTGGTGGGTGTGTCACAGAAGATAACTTGCTCCCTAGAATACCCCCCAGGCAGACACATTGGTGGGGCCATACGGATATCTATTTGACATCATGTGATTCCCACGGCTAGCATTTCTTGCTCTTAAATTTTCTATCAAAAAATGCCCCCAGGAGTCTGTTGGCTTAAAATCCCTTGTTCCAGGCTTCTTGATTTCATCAACGTGATGACTTACGATTTCCACGGTGGCTGGGACACAACTACAGGCCACAACAGTCCCCTGCATGTAGGATCCAAGGACCAAGGCGACATACGTTATTTCAACTGTGTAAGAAAGAAAAATCTCAAACCTTAAGCAGAGGGAAGGAGGGGAGGGGATTGGGGAGAACCTCAGTTGTGTATGAAGGCTTTCTCTTTGGGGAGCAATTGCTAGCTAGACTTGGTTCATGAACCCCAACAAACACAGTTCACCAACAAACACTGGTGATGAAATAATGTCTGTTGCCTTCTTTAGGAATATGCCATGAAGTACTGGAGAGATAATGGGGTCCCAGCAGAGAAGCTCATCATGGGATTCCCTACCTACGGGAGAACCTTCCGGCTCACCAGTTCTGACACCTCAGTTGGTGCCCCAGCCTCTGGAGCAGGGTCAGCTGGTCCTTACACGCGTGAGGCTGGCTTCTGGGCTTACTATGAGGTGACTGGCATTGCTAATTCAGGCTTCAAGTGTACTGGGGAAAATTCTTTTACTATCCCTGCCAACCCTTTCTTAAGTCCTGTACCCTGGCTTCTCATTGCTCCAAGCGTAAGTGACTTGATGGCTGTGAAATGATTTCACTTAGGAAAAAAAGACAAAACACTTCAATCTAAATTTCCTTTTTGGACTTTGAAGCACATAGCATCATTCTTCTCACCACTCCAAAGCAATACTGAATTCTATTATACCCAAGTAAACAACTGGAGAAGGATTTCAGCAGTCTCACCCAGGTATAACAAACAATTTGATCTTCCTTTCAACTTGAATTGATTGTGCTTACTAGAATCCTGTGCTGAAAATTCTGAGACTTCTTGGGGAATGATAAACAGGGTTTGCCAAAGACTCAAGAGGGAAGAATGATCACAGCACACACAGTTATGCTTACCATCTTCCAAATAACCTTCAGATACAGAATTAGTTAGGGTTACACTTGTTTGTAGTCTGGTGTCATAGAAATTTGTCTTCCCTTTCTGAGATAAAATCACTTTCTCAAAATATGTGTGAGATTAATGTAGGTATCATAATGTCATCATTTCCATTCTCCTTATATTTCTTCCTATTTTTTTCCTCCTGTTTACGTCCTTTCTCCTCTAATCCATGACATACACCTGTGAAGTGCTTGACATTGCCTTCTTCCTTCCCGCCACAGATCTGCCCGTTCTTAAGTGGAGCCACGAGTGCCTGGATTGAAGACCAGAAAGTTCCATATGCTTACAAAGACACGGAGTGGATTGGTTATGACAACATTAAGAGCTATGAGTATAAGGTACGAGCACTGTTTTAAAAAATTACAGTCCTGGCTTCCAATCCTATGTCCATCGAAAGACCATTTTCCTAAAATCTGTGGTTTCAAGATTTTAAATAGGCCTAGAGAAAGGGTAACTCAACCTCAATACTACTTAACTTTTCTCCAAGACAGGAAAAATAATGGGATTAAATATAACTTAATATTTAATAATGCAATATATAATGTATAGCATAATACACTGGAATATACTAGAATATTCTAACATGATTAAAATTTCCCAATTTTTGTCCTGTAGGAGTCTCTATTAGTATATGAGGCTGTTTATAAAACTGGCCTAAGACCACCACCTTCAGTGACAGTTATAAAAATAACTCTTTACATTTTTACCTAAATGCTTTACTCTTATAGACCAAGAGTTTGTGACCATTATCTTACCAGATTCCACACACCCTAGTGAGGTAAATAACAGCCTCTCCATTTTACAGATGTATCAGCTGAGGATCACAGATACTGTGACTAGTTCAAGGTCACATGACTGAAAAAGAAAGACAGCAATTGAATATGTGATCTGGCTCAGAGTCTAGGTTCTTTCCACTGGACCAATCTGTCAGTTCATCTTTGCAGAATCCCAGTTAGGATAAAGATGTCTGACAAGGAGGAGGGAGGGAAGGGGTCTGATGGTGTAGTGGTTAATAATTTAAGCTCTAGAGTCAGATATACCTTGCTCTAAGTCCTCAGTCTGAGACTGGTTGAGTTCCCCGTATTGTGAAGATTGAGTACTGAATATAAAAATATAGTTTAGCCTACTACAAGTATTTAATACTAGTATTAAATAAATATCAGCTTTATGTTACTCCCCAAGAGTTTATTAAATAGGACAAGAAAACAAGAATATAGCAGAGTTAATCAGTTATGTCTTGAGTCCACAGGCATGTACCCTTTCTTAAAAGAAAAATCGGGGCCCTGCCCCACTTGTGTTTCACTAATATCATCTGTCACCCCATATGCAGCTGTCTGCTTGCTGCATAGGTGCCATTTGATTCTGACTGCCGTTTTTGTCCACAGGTTGACTTTCTCAAGGAGCACAAGTTTGGTGGGGCCATGGTTTGGGCCATTGATCTGGATGACTTCTCGGGCTCCTTCTGCAATGAGAACAAATACCCACTCATAAGCAAGCTGAGGTCACTCCTGGGCATATCCTCAGGTGCGTCATTACCAAGTCTAGCATGTTGTTCTAAAGAGGATGCAGAAAACTGAAAAAGAACAGCAAAGGCAGAGGGGCCAGAGTGCATGGAGGCAGCCTCAGAATTTCTAGAACTTCTAGTCTCATATCTGAGAAAAGGGACACAGTTACAGAAAGCGCATTTTTAGAATCTGCTTTTTAGTAAGGGGCCAGTGCTAAGTTCATTAGCTATCACGGGCAAAGGTTTAGATAGACTAGCTACCCTGGACATGGGCCTTGCTGCTTGGGAAAATTTAGGCCAGGAACTAGATATCCCAAAAGCCAGCCTGGCATACAGGCATACCTTGTTTCATTGCACTTTGCTGTATTGCATTTCGCAGATACTGTCTGTTTCACAAATTAAAGGCTTGAGGCAACCCTGCACTGAGCAAGTCTACCAACATTTTCCCAATAGCACGTGCTCACTTTGTGTGTCTGTGCCACATTTTGATAAATCTTACAATATTTCAAATGTTTTCATTATTATTATATCTGTTATGGTGATCTATGATCAGTGATCTTTGATGTTACCATTGTAATTGTTTGGGGTTGCCACAAACCAAGCTCATATAAGACAGTGAAAGTAATCGATAAATGTTGTATGTGTTCTGACCACTCCACCAACTGGCCATTCCCCTTATCTCTTTCCCTCTCCTTGGGCCTCCCTGTTTCTGAGACACAACGACATAAAAATTAGGCTGACTAATAACCCTACAATGGGCTCTAAGTGTTCAAGTGAAAGAAATATTTGCATGCTTCTCACCTTAAATATAGAGTTAGACATAGTTAAGCTTAGTGAGGAAGGCGTGGTAGGCCAAAAGATAGGCCCTTTGCACCAAACAGTTAGCCATGTTGTGAATGCAAAGGAAAAAGTTCTTGAAGGACATTTAAAGTGCTACTTCAGTGAACACACAAGAAAGCAAAACATAAACGTGCAAGGGCAAGCAGCAAGTCCTGATGAAGAAGCTGCAGCAAGTGATCCAGAAGATCCAGTTAAGATCATTGGTGAAAGTGGCTACATTAAATAACATATTTTCCATGTAGATAAAACAGCCTTCTGTTAAAAGAAGATGCCATCTGGGATTTTCAGGGCTAGAGAGGAAAAGTCAATGCCTGGCTTCAAAGTTTCAAAGGATGGGCTGGCTTTCTTGTTAGGAACTAATGCAGGTGATGATTTTGATTTGAAATCAATGCTCATTAACCAGTCTTGAGAATACTAGAGCCCTTAGGAGTGATGCTTAATCTACTCTGCCTGTGGTCTATAAATGAAACAACAAGGCGTGGATGACCAAACATCTGTTTATAGCATAGTTTACTGAATATTTTAAGCCCATGGTTGAGACCTATTGCTCAGAAAAAAAGAAAAAGATTTCTTTCAAAATATGACTGCTCATTGACAATATACTTGGTCACCTAAGAGCTCTGACGGAGAGGTGTAAGGAGATTAACTTTGTTTCTATAACTACTAACACAACATCCATTCTGTAGCCCACGGATCAAGGAGTAATTTTAACTTTCCAGTCTTATTATTTAAGAAATACATTTTGTAAGGCTATAACTGTCATATAGTGACTCCGCTGATGGATCTGGGGCAAAGTAATTGAAAACCGTTTGGAAAGGCTCCACCATTCTGATGCCATTAAAAACATTCGTGATTTATGGCATGAAGTAAAAATATCAACATTAATAGGAGTCTGGAGGAAGTTGAATTCAACCCTTAGAGATGACTTTGAGGGGTTCAAGACTTCAGTGGAGGAAGCAATTTCAGTGGCAGCAATAGCAAGAGAACTAGAATTAGAAGTGGAGCCCGAAGATGGGACTGGATTGCTGCAATCTCATGATAAAACTTGAATGGGTAAGGCGTCGCTTCTTATGGATGAGTAAGAAGGTGATTTCTGGAAATGAAACCTACTCATGGTGAAGATGCCATTAACACTGTTGAAATGACAACCAAGGATTTAGAATATTACATAAACTTGGTTGATACAGCAGCAGCAGGGTTTGAGAAGATTTTTTTTTTTTGAGTCGGAGTCTCACTCTGTCGCCCAGACTGGAGTGCTGTGGCCGTTCCCGGCCACCGCAGCCTTGAGCTGCTGGGCTCCAGTGATCCTTCCGCCTCAGCCTTCCGAGTAGCTGGAACTACAGGCGCATGCTACCATGCCCGGCTGATTTTTGATTTATTGTAGAGATGAGGTCTCGCCAAGTTGCCCAGGTGAGTCTCGAACCCGTGGGCTCAGGCAATCCACTCACCTCGGCCTCCCAAAGCGCAGGATTACAGGCTGAGCCACCGAGCCCGGCCAGGGTTTGAGAAGATTGACTTTAATTTCCAAAGTTCCAGTGTGGGTAAAATGCTATCAAACAGCATCACATGCTGCAGATAAATCTTTCATGAAAGGAAGAATCAGTAGATGCAGCAGACTTCATTGTTGTCTTGCCTTAAGAAATTGCCACAGCCACCCCAGCCTTCAGCAGCCACCACTCTCATCAGCCAGCAGACATCAGTATCGGGGCAAAATTCTCCACCAGCAAAAAGTTTATGACTCACTCACTGAAGACTCAGATGACTGTTAGCAGTTTTTAAAATTTTATTTAGTAATAAAATATTTTTAATTTAAGGTATGTACACTGGTTTTCAGACATAATCACATAGGCATAGGCACACTTAACAGACTACAGCAAGTGTAAAACTAACTTTTATATGCACTGGGAAACCAAAAAATTCGTGCGACCTGCTTTATTGTGATATTCGCTTTATTGCAATGGTCTGTAACTCAACCTACAATATCTCTTAGCTATGCCTGTATGTACTGACATTTATCTCTAAGCTAGACGACTTCCCTCTCGCTGCACCATTTCCTAACTTAGACACACAGATTGTCATCTGGGTGCTGGTAGAGAGGACCAGAGGAATGTCATAAGGAAGAGAAGGAATGAAGACTCCAGTGGTTGATTGGTCTCAGCAGTATGGAGAAAGCCCCACCCTTCACGTGGCTCTGTATGTTCTTAGGATTAAGCATCCCAGGGGCAGGTTGCAGAGTGGGGTAGGAGAGTGGAAGACATAGTGGTTCCTTAGGTCTCTAAGGAAATTCATAGAATCATTGATTTCTAGAACTGCAAGAGCCTGGAAAAAAGATTACAAAATGACTTGCTCAAACAGCCAGTGAGTAAGAAGCAGACTATGATAGTGATTGAGCACCTGCTACCAGTAAAATGAAATATAAAACTTCTGAACCACTGGAGGGAGAGAAAAGAAGTGAACAATGTTGAAAGGAAACAAGTAAAAATAAAGCATAACCAGATAATAAAAATCCAAACATATTACAGATGGCAGAAGTGTTGACAGATAAATCTTCCCTACTAAAAACCAAATATGAATGAATCCCTCAAAATAATGTGCTTTCCTATCACTGTGGGGCTGGGTTCATTTTCTCTCTAGGGGAACTAGAGTGGAAGCCCAGGGCTGACATCCTGTGAGGACTCCGGTGGCGTTTGTTTTCTACCTCCCTGCTCTGGACATCTGTCCCCTTGCAGCTTTCTTCTCAGAAGTCACTTGGAACCCTCATAGGGCTCAAGTTCTTTGAGAACAGAACTGAGATGGGAGAATGTCTGGAGCTTGTTGTTTCTATGGACAAAAACAGGCTATGGTGATGCTCTTTTTGTTCTTTTAGAATGTACTCCACCAGCCACCAACCCCTGGTATAACCGGCCAGTGACCCCCAGAAATGAAGGCTTCTGTGCCAATATTGGCGGAGGCAGTGGTGGAGGAGGCGGCGGTGACGGGGGAAGCGGTGGAGAAGGCGGCGGTGACGGTGGCAGTGGAGGAGATGGAGGTTTCTGTACTGGGAAAGCAGATGGCATCTATAGTGATCCTGAAGACATCACCAAGTTCTACCAGTGCGTGCAAGGCCAGACCTTCCACCTCCATTGTGCCCAAGGTCTGATCTTTGACCAGAACTGCAAGTGTTGCAATTGGCCTTAAAAGTGTTGGTAAAATCCTGGATTCTCTTGTGCTGCATGTCAAACTACATCCATCCATATATTATATCCATATGCCATCCATATATTATATCCATATATCTGTCACATTGGACGCCCTGCCCTACTGAATCAGATTCTGATAGGTTTTACTCTATTAAAACCGAAAATCCTGTAAACCCCTCAAACCAAGTCCAGATTTTAAATAAATAGGGCACAGCATGTGTTATTCTTTGTGTTTATTTGTGCTGGTTTTAGAAAAGAGAATACTCTTCCCTGGGAAAAGCTCTGAACGTATGTTAAAGATGCTCTATCACCCCTGTCAATATCCTTCAAAGGAGGAGCCTAGACCTTGAATCAGAAAAAATAGCCAATGCTAAATTATCACCTCAGAGGCTGAGCACAGAGGAAATCCCAGCACTCTCAGAAGGATTGCCTGAGCCCAGGAGTTCGAAACGAGCCAGGGCAGCATAGCAAGACCTCTCATCTCTACAGAAAATTTTTAAAAATTAGCTCGGTGTGGTGACTTGCACCTGTAGTCCCAGCTACTTGGGGCGGTGGGGTGAGGTGGGGAGCTGAAGTGGACTGATAGCCTGAGCCTCGGAGTTTGAGGCTGCAGTGAGTGAGTTGTGATCGTGCCATTGCACTCCAGCCTGGGCAGCAGAATGAGCATCTGACGTAAAAAAAAAAATTTTACCTCAATGAAAACCTGCCCAAGTGTGGATGCAAAAAAGAAAAGGGAAGGTGTAGGGGGAGGGATGATAAGAGTTAATTCTGACTTATCTCAAGCCATAGACACTGCTTGACAAGATAATAGAATTCATTAAATCATGAGATTAAAAGAAGCCTGAGGCATCTCTATCATTATCTTAGTGTTCCAATGTGATTTCCCATAAAGACTCTTGTTTTTCCTCACTATTTTTTTTTTTTCAACTTGGCCTCCACAATATCGCCATATCCTGTTTCTCTTCCTCTGCTCTGGTCCTTGATTCTTGATTCTCTGTATTCTTTAGAAGCTCATTGTCCTCTACATAACCACACTAACTAGGAAGTGAAGGAAGGCAGGGGTGTGTGTGTGTGTGTGTGTGTGTGTGTGTGTGTGTGTGTGTGTGTGTGTATGTATGTATGTGAGAGAGAGAGAGCTAGCTAACTAGGAAGTAAAGAAGAGTAGGTGTGTGTGTGTGTGAGAGAGAGAGTGTGTGTGTCTATGTGAGAGAGAGAGAGAGAGAGAGAGAGAGAGAGAAATAGATCAATGTTGATATAAGACCCTGCCTCACAAACTTATTCAGCTCTGCTGCCTTCTCTACCACCATTACCCAAGCCAAGCTACAGGACTTGGTCCTTAAGGAATGAAGTCCCCCAGCATCAAATGCTCTTAAAGTTTTGCTTCTTAATGGTCCTTTCTCCAGCTAACACCGATGCTGGGATGGCCCCGAGGATTACTGTAGGTTAGAACTTTCTGAAGCTACCGACAGCTTCTTACTCTTTGGTATCCAGACATATGCAGGCTTGCCACCTTTCTGGTAATTACTAAGAAGACTAAGTGAGTAAAAGGACCTTCCCGTTAAAAGATAAGGTAGACCACACTTAGTGGCCTCATTCATAAAATAGGACCTGTTCCCTTCTGTTCTATTTTTGGTAGGGCATTGTTTTTGTTTGTTTTTTGAGTAGGAGTCTCTCTGTCGCCCAGGCTGGAGTGCAGTGGTATACTCACAGGCACCACAGCCTCGACATGCTGGGTTCAGGCAATCCTTCCGCCTCAGCCTTCCAAGTAACTGGAAGTACAGGCGTGCGCCACCACATCTGGCTAATTTTTTAAATTTATTGTAGAAATGAGGTCTCGCCCAGTTGCTCAGGCTGGTCTTGAACACCTGGGCTCAGGCAGTCCTCTCACCTCGGCCTCCTAAAGTGCTGGGATTATAGGCATGAGCCACCGCACCGGACCAGGTAGGACGTTGTGTAGAATTGGAATTATTTATTCCTTAAACGTGTGACAGAATTCAACAGCAGAACGATCTGGGTGTTAAATTTTCTTTGTTGGAAGGTTTTCAACACTAAATTCAATTTCTTTAAGAGATACAAGACTATTCAGGTAATCTATTTCTTCTTAAGTGAGTTTTGGTAGCACTTCTTTAAAGAGATTGATCTGATAGTGCCGATCCTGAACATACTTGAGTTATTTCAATACTTGAGTTATTTCAGCTAGTGCTAGAAGGAAAGGGGCCTACCTCGCAGGTCTCGGTGTCTGGATAAGTACTTTGAATGTGGCTGCTGTGGGTTCTGACCTTTATAATCCCAGACTAACTTGTAAGGGGCTATTCGGATTGGAGGGCAGACCCAATCCTAGTCACCTGGTGAGTCCTCCTTGGGACTCAGCTCGGGCCCAAGGAACTAGTCGACGAGTTTATTTTGATTCCTGCTATATTTCCAGGGCTTACCACTCTGCCCGACACATAGTAGAAACTCAGCATATATGCTGACAGACTAAGTAGATGATATAATGGGAAATGAGAAACTTTCGGTTCTTTGAGTTGCATGTCCGTCTGGGAAAGACCTTCCCACTCTGCTGGAGAACTCAAAAACTTGAAAGGGCTCCTAAAACATACATGTTTTAAGTTTGAGTGTCTTCTGTATCTGTTGAGCCCAAATCCTCCCCAAAGCCTTGGTACGTGTAAGCAGTGCTTTGGAATTAGAGGTCGAGGGCAGGGCCCATAAGTATTTCACTAAGATGAAACCCACCAACTCAACACCCAACAGGAGCCCCTGGATTCGGCTACATATGTAGACATCATGCACCAGCAGATGGAGCTAGCACTCTGTACCAGTCTTTATGCTCTCATACAGAAGTTTTGAGTCCCTGCCCCTCCCTGGGCCCCCGTGCTGGCAGACAAGAGGGCCACAGTAACGCAGAAGAGCAGCTCTGTCCCCAATCCTGGAGATGCTGTGTTCAGGAGGAGCACGTGAAGGTTGTCACCGTTGCTCAGTTGTAATACAGGCTTAAGTAGGCCACACGGTTCCGGTGCTTTCTAAAGTCTTTATCTGTGGACAGCTGCAATGAAAGAAAATTGTACAGCTCAATATCCTAATGAGAACCCTCTGCCTCTGATCTTCCTCGTTGTGCAAAAGAGAACCGTACATCATAGATAGCTTGAATTCCCACCCCACGGTAATCTAGCCTTGGAGATCCTCTCCACATTTGTTTGTACATCTATTTTTTAAATCATCTTACTATGGGGTATATCATGTTAGAAATTATTTGCTACTTGGTAAATCTCCAAGGAGTTGGTAGGTTTTCTCAAAGACAAGGATGATATGTTTAATGTTTGAACGTTACCCATAGACCCTAACATCATGATGTTACTACATTAGGCATTTAATAAATATTTGTGGAATTAACCCAACATTCCACTAGGAAAAAAAGGCAACTCTGGAATGATGAGAGCTAACATGGACTGAGCATTTATTATGTCATTGGGTACTGTGTAAAATGATTTTTCAAATTATCATGATTAATCTTTATAACCATATCTGATGGATTCTGTTATTATACTCATTTTACAGATAAGAAAACTGAGGCTTAGACAAATTAAGGGACTTATGTAAGATCACACAAAGAGTAAATACTGGAGCTAGTATTTGACCTCAGGCATGTTTTGTCCCCAGTATGTATGCTCTTAACTAGATGCTCTCCAGCTCTCCAGTAACCTAATATTCAAGTGGTGTTATGGAAGGAGCACTGGATTATGAGTCACAAAATCTGTATTCCAGCCAAGCAACCTGCACAAATCACTAAATCCATCTGGGCCTCAGTGTTTTCCTCTTCATCTAGGGACATCTCACCTATGCCTACCGAAAAAGATTATTTAAGGATTAAATAAGAAAAAGTGACTTTTGTTTAGTCATATACAATTTTAAATTTGTATTTAAAATTTGAAATTGTATAGCTCTCCAAAAATAATCCTCATATTCATATACATAGAAAATTGTGCAGATCATTTTAGGAGACCAAGGACTTCCTGAAGTTCATTCACAGACTCCTGATTAAGAACTCCAAATATATATGAAGTACCAGATAGAGTACTCTATAGAAGTCCAATCTTATTACCTCAGCTTTTAGGGTTCTTTTTTGTAGACATGGAACCTGAGCCCAGTCTGGAGATCCAAATCTCATTGGCCAAGCAATTTTGGGGGGTGGCCTCCTCTCTGGGTAGTAAGTGCCAGGGCTAGAAATAAAAATACAAACGTCATGTCTAATGAGTTAGCAACCATACATGAACTCCATCAGCATCACTGCCATCTCAGTATCCTTAGCTGAGAGCAGAAAGTCCCAGAGTGTTGGGCAATGAAAGAGACCTCTAACAGTGATAAATAAGTGCTGCTCACAGTTTGAAGTCAGTGATAAAAGGGCAATGATGACCTATCTGCAACATAGGCATGACGAAGCAGAACCAGTTAAACGTTCTTGGCAATGGAATGATTTTTTTTTTGAGTTGGAGTCTTATTCTGTGGCCCACGCTGGAGGGCAGTGGCATGCTCATGGCCACCACAGTCTCGGCCTGCTGGGCTCAGGTGATCCTTCCGCCTCAGCATTCCAGGTAGCTGGAACTACAGGCATGCGCCACCACGCCCAGCTAATTTTTTGATTTATTGTAGAGATGAGGTCTTGCCAAGTTGCCCAGGCTGGTTTCGAACCCGTGGGCTCAGGCAATTCTCTCACCTTGGCCTCCCAAAGTGCTGGGATTATAGGCGTGAGTCACCATACCTGGCCATGGAATGATTTTTAAGTTGCCTTTGTTCATAACACTTTGTGTTTTGGTGTAGACTCTTTACTGTAAGGAAATAACACCTAGAGTGGATATGGGGATCAAGACTCAACACTTCTTCCTTAATGCAAGATTGAGAAAGTTACATCCACTTTCTGATCCTTGGATCTCTTGTCAATAAAAGAAAGGCCTTGACCCTTCGCTCTACAACTCCATACATTCTGAATAAGTTCCTGCAGCATCGAGAATAAGTTCCTTGGCCCACAAGGCCTATCTACTCCAGTCAGCCCTCCTTCTCTCTTCTCATTTTCCCCTTGCTCACACACTGTAGGCATGCTGGCCTTCTTTCCTTCTTCCTCACATGAAATTCACTCCCAGCTCACAGCCTTTGCCCTTGGTGCTCCCTCTGCCTGGAATGTTCTGTCCTCAGCTCTTCAGGCTGGCTCAGTCTCGTCATTAGATCTCAGATCTAGTGTCATTTCCTCAACCCTTGCTAAAGTAGCCACCAGCCCATCACTCCCTATCAGACTGGCATCCTGTTTTACCTTCTTCTAGCATGTCAACAGAACAACATACTTCCTGGTGTGCCCATGACAGTCCCAACTTACGGCTACTGTCCTTGTATAAAATGACTACTAGACTCCTTTTCCTTCTCAGAAGTGTCACAGTTTGACTAATTAATTATAGATCATTCTCCTTATTACTATTGGTGTTTTTCCTATGCATTTGTTTCTTCCCCGTTTGGAATTTAGAATGTATGTTCCAAGGAATCAGGAACCCGCGTAATAGGTTTAATGCAAAAATCTCTAAAACGTACAGGTGTGGTGGCTCATGCCTGCAATCCCAGCGCTTTGGGAGGCCGAGATGGGAGACTCTCTTGAGCCCAGGAGTTCAAGATCAGTCTGGGCAATACAGTGAGATCTTGTCTCCACAAAAAAATTTTAAAAACTAGCTGGGAGTGGTGGCATGCGCCTGTAGTCCTGGTTATTGGAGAGGCTGAAGTGGAATGATCACTTGAGCCCAGGTCAAGGCTGCAGTGAGCTGAGATCATGCCACTGCACTTCAGCTTGGGCGATAGGTAAGACCCTGTCTCAATAAACAAACAACCAACTATTGAATGAATAACTATAATTCTATAATTTTACAATGCCAGAAATCTGGGAGGCAGTCAGTTAAGTCTTTAAAGATGAGTGATTTTTTTTATTTAACTGGGATTGCTGTCTTTATGTACTTTTTTCCTTCCTATTGCTTCTTTTGAAGAATACCCCCAAATAGGAGACGTACCCGGGATAAGAAGGATCCTTTGCTTGTTTTCTAAATCGAGGCACCAAGGCATTAAATGGGGCAAAACTTTGTTTGTGTTTTTCCTCCCGAGGGCTTACTCTCTGGTACATGCCTGGATAGGGTGTCATATCCTGTTTCCAAGAAAAAGATCAGGATGTTAGTGGGAGATATGAGTATACACATAAAGTCTTCCAGGGAGAAAACTCTACAATCATCCTCTTCCTGTTCATAAATCGGCTATGGTTCAGTCCCCTCAAGCTATGGAAATAGGACTACAGTAGGGAGGAAACCAAGATACAGGCGGGTGTGGTTCAGCTATCTAAAGACACATATTGTGTAGATTGTAGAAATAAACCTAAGATGGGCAGAGAACCAAGGCAACTTGTCACAGCCACTGCCCTGACCACCCCCTCAGAGATTTTTAGAGCCAGTGTCCCTATTCCTTGAGTGTCAGGAAAATGTCCAACAAGAGATTAAGATCCTACACTGAAGATTTCAGACTTATAATCCAAACTCACAAAAGAGTGGAAAAGCTGGAATTTGTTTTTGCCTAACAAGACAATATGATGTCTATAAACACAGCTGCCAGTATTTTCACCTCAGGCATCTTAGCACCAAAGCCCGTCTTGGGGTCATTTCTTCCGCTCTGCCCAGTACACTCACATACATAGTTGCAATGCTACACCCAAGCTTCCAAACAGGCGTCTTAATAGCTTTTGGTTCAATGCCCACTTTTCTTGAATTTCAGGGCATATTCTTTTAGTCCATCCCCCTGCTCCCTGCCCTTTGCACCCCAATACAAATACACACACAACCACATGCATCACCATAAAATTCCCGCATATTACCTTCTCGATTGGCTTAAATCTCACAGCTGTTCTGGCTCCCAAAGCATATCCTTTTATACTGGTTGGGATCTTAGACAGGTTGTACGCCAAGTCATATCTCTTTGGATGGTATATTTAAAAAAAAAACAAAGAAAAACACCACCACATAGAGAATTTTAGGGCCATCAAAAGGGAGTAAACTTAGAATGTTCCCCTCTGAACCTTCCCTGCATACTCATTCTTGTTGTGACTCCTAGGTCAAGACCACACAATTACATAAGTAACATAGGTAACTTTGCAAAGGGATGTGGCTGGATAGGTAAAATAAATGACATTTTAGGCCTCCTAAGGAATTTGGACCATTAAAATGGAGTGAACTTAGAATGTTTTCCCCTGAACCTTCTCTGCATACTCATTCTTGTCTTGACTCCTTTCAGGCCAAGTCCATACAGTTACATGAGTAACACAAGTAACTGCAGAGGGATGTGGCTGGATAGGTAGAAAATATGGCATTTCTAGGCACTCTGGTGAATTAGCTCTTGTGAGCCCACTGAACTTGCTGTAATGCAACTGTCTGCCTGAGGTTTGGACTAACAGGAGGCTAACAGGCATTGGCTCACAGGACTTTGGAGTGGGGACTATACGAAACCAAGGTTTGCGTTAATAGGGGTGCAAAGGTGTGTGTGTGGGGGGGGGGGGGCAATGGTCCTTTAATCTCTGCTATTGACTTGAACCAGGAGACCAGAGCACTTTCTCATGTTGGGACTCTGACGATCTCAATTCCCGTAGAGTTTTTCTTTTGGGAAACTTAGGTATCCTTCCATAGCCCGGGAATGGAGACCAACCGAAGGGGAGGGGAGTACTCACATCTGACACGTAACACCCAGGTCCTCTGTGGGGCGATCCCCTAAGGGGAAGAAACTTGTTCCCAGTCAAATCTGGGGGGTGGTAGAGAGGAAAGAGCTGCCTCTGCTGACGTGTTCCAAAGGAGTAGTTACCCACCGTCTCTAAAACCAAGAAAGAGGAGAAACTCCCCGTGAGGGACGGCACCTCCTCTACGCGAGCGCCTCGAGGGAGGGGAGGGTCTGGGGAGGCGGAGGACAGGACCCACCTGGGCACTCACCAAACCCGGATCAAATTCCACGGAGGGGGCTGGCTGCGCTTCCTCCCCCTGGGTCTTCCCCAGCCTCCCCATCCCGCCCCCCCCAGGCGTCCCCGCAGCCCCGCTCACCCGATTTGCCGAAGCACATCGCGCGCCGCCGGGGCTCGCACTTGTGTACGGCGTTGCCAAGGGAACGGAGGCGGCCCGGGAGAGCCCCGCCGCGGCGCGGGGCGGGCGGCGGCCCCGAGTGCGCCTGCGCAGCCAGCGGGCCGCGCCCAGGGGGCGGGAACCCGCACCCGGGAGCCCCGAGCCGGGGGAACGGAGCCTCCGGCCCCGGGGCGGAGGGTGGAGGGTTTGCGGGGTCCGCGGCGGCAGGGGCTGCGGCCCTGGGGGGGGGGGGGGGGAACAAAGAGCTTTGGAAACGGGGCCAAGAGGAATGCGCTGCTGTGGCGGGAGGGACGGTGAGGTTCAGGACACCCCGAAGTTCGGGCTACTGGGATGGTGATGTAGGAAAAACGCAGCCACTGCAGCGACGGGGTGTGGGATGGCTCCCTGGGCGTCGCCCAGAGCCGGGAGTGAGGGGCAGAGCTGGGCTGGTAGTTCCTGGTAGGCCTTCTTAGGCCCGTGTGTCCTTTTCCTCCACCCTTCCCATCAGGTTGCCCTCTCTACCCCTATGGGGAGGGCACGGAGCTTTGAAAGGACTAGAGGTCTTGAGTGGAACGGTCAGTGCCGTGGACTCACAGAAGTGCTGGACAGCTTTAGAATTTTGGGCAGTCAAATTTCTAAGCCCCGCTTTCCTCAACTCTGAGTTGGGCATAGAAATTACTCTTTGGAGTGTTCTTGAGAGAATTGGGGAGGACAAGATGAAAACAGTTCAGTGCCTGATACTTGATGGTGATAATATAAGAGGTTATTATCAATGAAAATCCTAATAACCCAAGAATAAAGTCAGATAGTGTGTTGACTTTTTTTACCTTTGCCTTGGATGTTTTCACTAGACTTTTAGGAGGACTTTAGGAGTTGTGCAGGCGTGAGAGGTAACAGAACACACAGTGTAGACTGGTTCATACAACCCTTTGGCCCCTATAGACGATGACCTTAGAATCCATACATACCCTGGGCTAGCACTTGTTTTCAGGGATGATTTTATAGCTCTAATTTAGAGTTTCCAAAAAAGGTGACCCTGAGTCCTGGGGGATATTCTGGAAATTGTGGAAACATTTTTGCTCGTTAAAAATTGTTGGAGGCTGGGTGCGGTGGCTCATGCCTGTTATCCCAGTACTTTGGGAGCCCAGGAGTTTGAGAACAGCCTGGGCAACAGAACAAGACCTTGACTCTACAAAAGATTAAAAAAAAAAAACTAGGTAGGTATGGTGACCTGTGGCCTACTCGGGAGGTTGAGGCAGAAAGATTGTCTGAGCCCAGGAGGTCGAGGCTGTAGGGAGCAGTGATCGTGCCAGTGCACACCAGCCTGGGCGACAGAGTGAGAACCTGACTAAAAAAAAAATCGGGGTGTTGCTCCATAGGCTGCCCCTGGAGTGCAAGACCCCAGGCTGGTTGAGTAACTGTGTGCCCATGTCCTGGACCCAAGAAACAGCCCTATGGTCCACCCCTTGCAGACGTATCACCATGCCAGCTAAGCAGCTATACACCTGTGTCCCAGGCCTGAGAAGCAGCCCTGTGGGCCAACACTGATGAGCTCAACTTTCAGGCCAGCCAAGAAACCTTGCATCTATATCCTAGACCTGAGAAATGACTCCACAGACCATCTCCAACAGACATGTCACCAAACCATCTGAGAAATAGTCCTGTAGGCTGTTTATAGCAAGCATGTCCCAGGCCAAATGAGCAGCCCTCTGCCTGTGTCCTAGGCCCATGAAACAGCCCTGTGGGCTGTCTTCTGCAGACATATCCCCAGGCCAGCTAAACAGCTGCGCACCTATATATCAAGCCAGAGAAATAGCGTTATGGATCATTTCCAGCAGGCATGCACCCAGGCCAGCCAAGAAGCCATGTGACCATGACCTGGGTTTAACAAACAGCCCTGTGGGCTGCCTCAGCAAACATGTCCTCAGGCCAATTGGGAAGTCATGCAGATGTGTCCCAGTCCTGACAAACAGCCCTGTGGAATGCCTCCAGAAAGCCCACCCCAGTCTAGCCAAGTAGCTGGGCACCTGCAGACTAGACTGGAGAAATAGCCCCATGGACTACTGTGTGGCAGACACACCCAGGCCAGCCAAACAATCATGTGACTGTGCTACCAGCCAGAGCAACAGGCCTGAGGTCCCAACCCTGGTGAGCCAAACCCCAAGTTGGCCAACCCACTCTGTGTACACATATACCCCCGACTTGAGAAACATCCCAGTGAGCCCATCCCTGGCCAAGATGCACCACCATCAACACAAACTCCCTCTAGACCTCTAGAAAACTCTCAAACACCACTAGTATTGTATTATAACTGAAGATACTACACAGAGAACACACTACTGTGTTTACCTAGAACAAGGCCAATGTACCCCAATGAACCAACATCCCAAGATCCATTCAGATGAGGAAGTCTTTCCCTAGGAAACCTACTCCATAAAATTGGAAGAGACATCTTCTCCACAAGATGTGTACAAATTAACGTGGGGATATGTCAACCATGAAAAAGCAAAAAATGTATCACCTCCAAAGGAAAATAATTATCCAGTACAGAACTCAAACACAAAGAAATATATGAAATGCCAAAAAAATGAATTTGAAATAATAATGTTGGCCAGGCATGGTGGCTCATCACTGTAATCCCAGTGCTTTGGGAGACCAGGGCTGGAGGATCACTTGAGCCCAGGAGTTCAAGACCTGCTTAGGAAACACAGTGAGACCCTACAAAAAACAAAACAAAAACTAGTCAGGTGTGGTGGTTCATGTCTGTAGTTCCAGCTACTTGGGAGGCTGAAGAGGAAGATCTGCTTGAGTCTGGGAGTTTGAGGTTGCAGGATGCACTCTAGCCTGGGTGACAGAGGGAGGCCTTGTATCAAAACAACCACAACAGCAACAATAAACAAAACAAAACAAATCATATTAATGAAACTTAGTGAGATACAAAGACTACAGATAAATAATTCAACAAAATCAGGAAAACAATGCATAACTTTAATAAGAAATTTAACTAAGACAGATATCATAAAAAAGAACCAAATAAAACCTAGAGTTGAACAATTCAACAAATAAAATAAAGGTGCAATTGAGAACTTCAACAATAGACTAGATCATGCAGAAGAAATAATTTCTGAACTTAAAAAGACGTATCTTTTGAAATAACAGGCAGAAAGAAGGAAAAAAATTTAAAAGAATGAAGAAAGCCCACAGGATTTAAGGGACACTATTAAGTGAACATGTATTCACATTATGGGCATTGTAGAAGAAAGGAAAAGAAAAGGTGAGAAAAAATATTTAATAAAATAATATCTTGGGAGAGAGGTGGGCATCCAGGTCCAGGAAGCTCAAAGAAGCCCAAATACATTCAATCCAGATAAGTCCTCTCTGAGGAATATTATATTCAAATTGCTTAAAGTCAAAGACAAAGAAATCATTGTTTTTTAGAAATGAAAATATAGTTTATTTGAAAAGTAAATTAGAGACGGGAAGAGAGAGGAGATTCACCTCCCCAAGGTATGGGAGGGGGCCAAAGCTAGAAAGCCTGGTAGCCATAGCCCAAAGAGTCACATGGACACAACAGAGTTTAACAAAACAATGGCAAATGGTTTCTTGAGGTTTATTGCTTTTTTTTTTTTGAAATCTCACTCTGTCACCCAGGTTGGAGTGCAGTGGCACACTCATGGCCACCCCAGAATCTACCCACTGGGCTCCAGCGATTCTTCCACCTCAGCCTTCTAAGTAGCTGGAACTACAGATGCACACTACTACGCCTGGCTAATTTTTTATTTATTGTAGAGATGAGGTCTTGCCAAGTTGCCCAGGCTGGTCTCAAAGAAGTAATTTTAAAAAAGCAAGAGAAAAGCATCCAGTCACATACAAGGGAGTTTTATTAGACTAACAGACTAACGGCAGATTTTTCAGTAGAAATCTTACAGGCCAGGAGAGAATGGGGTGATATTTTCAAAATACTGAAAGAAAAAAAGATGGCCAGGAGTGGTGGCTCATGCCTGGAATCCCAGCACCTTGGGAGGTGGAGGCAAGAGGACTGCCTGAGCCCAGGGATTTGAGACCAGCCTGGGCAACTTGGTGAGACTTTGTCTCTACAATAAATTAAAAATTGGCCAGGTGTGGTGGCACATGCTTATAGTTCCAGTTACTTGGAAGGTTGAGGCAAAGGGAATGTCTGAGCCCAGAAGGTTGAGGCTGTGATGGCCCTGAGTGTGCCACTGTACTCCAGCCTGGGTGAGAGTGACACACCTACTAAAATCAAATCAAATCAAATCAAAACAAAACAAAACAAAAACCAGTCAGCCAAGAATATTATACCCAGTAGAACTATCCCTCAAAAATTAAGGATAAATAAAATATTTCAGACAAGCAAAAAGTAAAGGAATTCACCACCACTAGACTGGCCTTATAAAAACCAATCAAGGTAATTTTACTTCTGGAAGTGAAAAGATGGCACCATCATGAAAACATGAAAACCTATAAAACTCATGATAAAGGGTTACACAAAGAAGAAAGAGAAAGGAATCAAACTTTATCACTACAGGAAACCACAATATTAGAGGAAGAGGAATGGAAAAAGATATTCTATGCAAGTGGCAACCAAAGCAAGTAGGAGTAGCTATTCTAATACCTGGCAAAATAGATTTCAACGTAACCTATAGAAAGAGACAAAGAAGGACTTTATATAATAATAAAAGGATCAATACAGCAAGATAATATAATACTTGTAAATATGCACCCAGCACCGGAGCACTCAGATATACAAAGCAAATATTATTAGATCTAAAGGGTGATAGACCACAATACAATAATAGTCAAGGACTATAACAGTCATTTCTCAGCACTGGAAAGATCATCTTGACAGAAAATCAACAAAGAAACATCAGATCTAAATTGGACCTAATGGACCTAGATCAAATGAACCTAATGGACATTTCACCCAACAGCTACAGAATACACATTTTTTTTTAATCATCCCATGAAATTCTCTCCAGGACTGATCATGTGATAGGTCACAAAATAAGTCCCAACACATTCTAAAAATCAAAATCATATCAAGTATTTTCTCAGGTCGCAATGGAATATAACTAGATATCAATATCAAGAGGATTTTTGGAGACTATATATGGAAATTAAACAACATGCTCCTGAACAATCTGTAAGTGAAGAAAGAAATTTAAAATGAAATAATAAAACATTTTTTTAAAAAATGAAAATAGAAACAGAACATACCAAA